TTTTAGTATTAATCAGTTTATTGATTTATCACAACAGTGTGTGATGTTAAGAGATCCAAGTGTGTACAAGGTGTTACATTTCATGGTTCATTTTTCCCTTTTAACTGCCACACTAGTAAATAAGGAAAAATGTGTCAAGTTTTTTTTCCCCCAAATAATTATTTCTCTGACACAGTGTACCAAATAAATATACAGTATATGTAATATGTCAAATGTATCAAATTACCCTCTTTTTCAAAATATATAATGAAACTAAATTATTAAATGACAAGTACCTGTAAATGATGTAATTTTAATTTTAATGAGGGGTTGCCCCCTAGATTTTATCAAAATCAGTATATGCCTATATTTTAATTTTATGTTATCTTCAATATTTTTCAAACATGGATTCATTCTAAAATAAAAATCATTCTAAAATTAAAAATGTTTAACATGGTAAAAATGTGTTTAATTTTTCTGAAATCATCTCTAAATTTGCATAGTACTACAGTATAGACACAAAAACCTCTTAATTTCAATTATTTGGATCATTCTATGCCAAATCAATCAGTATTTCCCAAGTACACCGGCCATATTTTGATAAAATGAAATTTTAATTTTATCCAGCCATTAGTTAATAAGTTATTCGAGTCGTCAGTACTTTCATTTGAATACTAAAATACAAGCAAATCCACAATTTACTATTTGTTAATTTTCCTTTTTTTTAATTCTGAAATACACTTTATAATGTACTTGTTTCTAGAGTATGTTCTGTTATTCCCACCATTTATGATCACATTGATTGTCACACGTCAGTGACACTTAACCCCATGAACTTCCTGCCCATTTCCACTAAATTCTGAGCCGCATGGATCATCTACTTTACATGATAGGTTCCCTATAGTTACAAACTACTAGGACTTATGGGTGAGTTGGTTGGCTGAGCGGTAAGGCAGGTGCGCCATTAACTACAGCCTTAACATCGACACTGGTTTGAGCAGATCCTCACTCAGGATTTGATTGGTAGAAGTTTAAACTAATTCCTCCATGGTAGAACCAAGGTGTTAAACAAAATAACAAAATAAGACTTTAAAACAATGTGAGTTCCTACAGTACCTGGCAAATAAAAATATGAAGTAGAATGTATTAATGTTTTTGTGGTAAGATGGCCACCTAACATAAGGGACCTGGGTTCAAATCCTTAAAATTTTAGGATATTTTTGTGGCGTAGATACGACCAACCCTCCATTCCTTAAGCTTCATAATGAGGCTTCATTTAGAGAGAATCATTCCATTAACATGTAATGGGATGTGAAAAACAAAATTGAGTCTGCAGTAGTAGTAACTCTCCTCCCCTAATCCTTGTTACTAAGATCTTCACTGTACATAAGTAATTAAATAAATAAACCAACCATATAGATTGATATTAAATTTTCATGTAAATCTATATTTTTATAAAATATAGATTTTATAAAAACCTATCTAATGCCCTACAGTACGTGTCATATATATCACTTGTACTGTGTATTGGCAGTCCCTAAGGACAATGCTGTATTTATACATTATTTATTCTGTTTGCAACAGTAAATTGTCAGAATGTATTATCTTACTCACTGTCTGAGGCGAAATCTAAAAAAGTCTAGAATTAAATGAGCAAAAATTTAAATGCAATAAGTTATCTTCCAATGGAACACAGATTGAACAAGTCTGCTTTCACAGGTTTGTCCTTCAAAAATATCAAATTGATTATTTTTGGTAAGTTTCAATTGGAAGTCTTACTTAACATACAAATCAATTCAAATATTACTTTTTATTTCTTCAAAATGTAGATGTTAGGAATCTTTAAATCTATACCATACAGTAGAGAACTGTCAACCTAAAAATAAGAGCCCATAATCAATCAGTGTCAACCAGGAAACAAAATTCTTGTTTAGTCGGAAATACTGAGCATTTTATGAGAGCATACAATATATCATGGGAAAACTCAATCACATGTTTAACCACAAAATCTAAGCTACTGTACTATTTCAAAAAGCAACGATAGAGAACTGATTTTATATTGTCTTTTACGTCCAACGTTGAGCGACTTGCAGAAATTTATTTTTGGCCTGTCAACAGGGGGTGGGGGTGATGTTAGCGATAAAAAAATGTAGGTGTGGACGGGCGTCGCTCAAAATCTCTCGAAAGTGTTCTAGGTGGTGAAGCCCCCGAAAAATTTGGCAATTTAGGGGTTTCAAAGGCCTATTTAATCGATTCTGGAGTCTACCTATATGTAGAAAATACATAATTTGTGGTATTGCATCCTTATAGAATCAAGTTGGCTGACGACCGTCGCGGTGTAGTGTGGGCCCGGCTTTAAACACCATGAAAACACACATAGTGTTTCTTGTGCGAAGAGCGTATTAAAATAGTACTGTACATTTGGTTAAATTAATTAATTAAATTGTTTTAAATAAGGTGTGATGATTGATTTAACTATGCATGCATGATAAGCTATCTAGATATATTTCTTGCAGACACAATTAACAACTCTTTATTGGATTATATAAATGAACTGTTAATTGCATATCCTAAATTAATCATGGGATTATGAAGTCACTCGTATCCATTTACTAGTCGCGTCAGATTTCATTCGAAAGAACTTTTCAACTCATTTAACGGGATCAATAACTGATGAAATTTTTCTACTCTAACTCATCTGAATAATTGATAATAGAAATGAATACCCTTTAATTTTAATGCTCATTTTATACAGTAGGTTTGGTTAAATTACCTATTCCTGAAAAAGTACAGCAGACCTATTATATCTTTACCCAACTAATCTTATATGAATTAATAACTTTTTTACTTATGACATGCAATAATTTTTTATTATGAGAAAGTCTCTGAGTCAGATTATTAAGTGAAATATGAAATAAACAGTATTTAACCATTTGTCACATTGTGACTATTTGATATACATTATAAGTATACATAGACAAGAATAAAACAAATTATGTAAATGTTATTTTATATACAGTAGTATATTGTTTAATTGTGTTTTTTTCTGCACTGTATTTTTGCACCTATAATTCCATTTTGGACAAAATAAAAAAAATCTGAATTTTTTTACATATTTAAGGTTTTACAGAAATAAAAAATATATTATCTACAATTCATAATAATAATGATTTAACAAGAAAACTACAATATTACAGAACATTTTAGTGGTCAAAAAATGCACTATGGATTGAGGTAAAGGCCCATGCTATATTATTGGATATGGTACTACTGTAGATGCTCTGTGGCATCAAATTCCCCACAGACCTTGCCTGAAGAAAGGGCCCTCTCTTGTTCTCAAACACTGCCTAATTTTCTTGTAATTAACAGCTAATGTAAACAGTACAAGTTATTGTTAAACACCTAAATGACTGGACTCCCTTGGAGAATCAATCGCATATGGATCTCTAAAGGGAACTGCATTACATGTTTATATCCAACAGCTGAATTTCATCAGCTTTAGTTTACGATATCTGTTTTATATGAAAACTTTGCTAATTTTATTAGCCACGCTTCTTCCTGTGTCTAATGCAACTACATACTAAGAAAAAGTGATATTATTTCTGTGTTAAGTTAAAACACATTTTTTATTAAGAGAATAAATATGTCCATGAAAGGATTCCAGTTTTTGATTATTTATTAAATAAATTATTGAATTTTTTTTATTAAACTTAGTGGCGATAATAATAATTCTTAATTTCTTTTTAAAAATTCAAAACCCAAGATATGTCTGTATTAATCTGTGATATAAGTATAGGGCCTACTGTAAAGATTATTATTATTATTATCAATCATTTAAATGTTACATATTCTTAGCTGGATAATTTTACAAGTCTTTCATTGCCTCTTATTAGATCTTTTTAATGTCTAAGCCAAACAAAGATGTGTATAAGAGACAGCTGTAGTACTGTACACATTGCCAATACACATTTGTAATGCCACCATGCTGTACATACTGTAAGGTACAATACTAAAATTATTCGTAGTGTACATTATTGGGTGTCAAAATTGTTCTGAAGGCTATTAGAACTAAAAATTCCTTAATCTATTGTCTCCTGCATAATCCAGCCATGAAAGGTGCATTACAAGGATATCAGTGAGTAATCTGTCCCTTTCATCCTGTGTATTATTACGTCACTACTACCGGTACCTGTTCCAAATTCCAAAGCATTCATACCTTGCTTTTTGGCGTCAGTGACGTAGCCACTATTTCACCTTGTGGGCTTCAGTTTAAAAAATATAGATATTTATATTCATACAACAAAAATTTAAGAAATAATAACATGTTAAATATCAACCACCAGGAAGGAACGAAAAACAGGTACTGTCAAAAAGATTTTACACCAAGTGAGCTAATTTGCATGTCAAATTATTCAATTAAACAGAGGTACTTTACTTTGTTTTCATAATTCAGTTCTTCGGATTTCAAGAATTTTCTTTTCTGTTTGGGCTTGGATAGTTGCATATATTTGTTGTGGGTTTTTAAGGCACGGCACGGGTGCTAGCGCTTTGTATCTGGAAAAAAGGTGCTTTATAAATGCCAGGAGGGATAGTGATGTGTACAATATAACCCCAGTATAACCACAGTGGTAAGGACGCAAGTACTGTAGTGTCAACACTTTTTTGAAGACTGCTTACAGTATACTACCTGCGCTGAGCTAAAAACGTGAATGAAATTCAATATTTTAATTGCTTACTTTGTATGTATGTACTGTATGTACCATTTTCCTCACCAACTAACGGACGATTTTATTGGGTGGTGCTCAAATTTAAATGTATTTTTGTAGTAGAAATATAGGTACAAATATGCAAAAAACTGACTTGTTTTAATTTTTGTGTCACTGAAGGTTAATTAACATCCTTAATTGGATTTTTTTTTAAATGGCAGACAGTATGTCCTTATTTTGAAGCAAACAATGAGTTATTATTATCCTGACTTTGAAAAAGCAACCAATCTGATAATTGATTTCTTTTTTCCTCAGGAAACGTAAACCAGGAAACAATTGGTAGCCAAGGGAATACTGGAGTAGATGTGCTACAGGAAAAATTTATTGATTGTTTTCACAAACGAGAAGAACATTGAAAAGGCAGAACCAAATTTGATGGTTTGGAACTTTGACCGTCACTATTTGCAGCTTTGCTACCAAAATATATTGCACGGTAGCAACACGCTCTGTGTGCTTTCAACTTAGACGAATTTGAACTATCATTCAAGGACCAATATTTCGAAATGGGTTCAAATTTTATTTTACGTCTTTTAAAACGGAACTCAAGTTCGTCATTGAAACCTCGCATTGACAACCACAGTCTGTACACGAGTATTCAGATGAGCCAGGTGCTCGTTGAGGGCGTCTTAACTGTACATGAACCCTGGCGAAGGAATCGAAAGAAACCAAAAAGTGTTTTCCTGAGTCTGTACACGAATGACTCAAGCCCATTTATCGTCTGGTACGCAGAAAAAAATCGCAAAAAAACGCGTGGATATTTTAATATTCGTGGTGCAAAGATCGCACCGATCGGCGAGTACAGTTTCCAAATTATATTTGATAACTCTAGCCAGATATACAAATTCCATTGTGAATGTTGGGATGATAGGGAGGCTTGGTTGTACAAACTCCGAGAACAAAGCCGTAAAGAAATTTCTGTTCAATTATTCCGATCAAGTTCAACGGAAGACAACATTGATGAACCATGTGTGAACAATGACAGACGGCAAACTGACCGACCAAGCTGGAAAAGTCATCGACGCGTAGTTAGTACCGGATCCCCATTGCCTAATTTTCAACAGGGTCAAGTAGTGAACTTGCAGCGAAGTCGGAGCCAACCTCATATCCAGAAAAGGCGCATTGTGCGTCGACGACCAACTTTAAGCGAAAAGCAGCAGACCGGACTTTGTACAGTTGGCAACAAGGTCTCATGCCATCAATCATTTATACGCTCGCCGCAGGTAAAAGTAAGTCGAGGGTGAACGCTTACGACGGTTGAACTCACATTGACATTAATTCACGGTGCTTGAAATAATTCCTTTGCATCAGACTTTTAGGGGAAAAAAAACTGTTGGTCCAATGAAGGGAATCTAGCTGCCCTTCTGTGCTATATGGGGATATGTAGTAGTGAGTCTTAATGTGGCGGTGATATGTAAATGAGAGAAGATGAACTGTATTCAAAAATTCAACTTCCACACAATTTAACAAAATATGCTCAAAACATCAGTTAATTTATTATTACAGCATTTTGTTGATATAGGTTCATATAATATAATATTGAATTTTATTATATTATTATACGGTTTTGGTTTAATTTTTGAGAATATAAAATATTGATTCTCAATCTCATGTTCCAACAGTGATGTGGTCAAAATATTTCACAGAGGAAGCAATGCCAACATTCCAATTTTATTTTCCCACTTATAATAAATTAACATTAAAAATTTCATTAAATTTATTAATTCAGAGATCTGTATTACATTTCTGAATTTGAATAATCAGTTTTAATATTTAATTATGTAGAAATTCACTGAAATGGTGCTTGTTGTGAAAAAAATCTCAATTTGTAAACCAAATTCTAGTAATCATAACACTTGCTTGTTCTTACAACCAATAGCGATGATTTTCAAAATCCTACCTTATAGGCCTGTTGGTCCAAATTAGGAGGAAACATTGTTTCCAAAAAGTAAATTTTGATGAATTAAACACTAGTTTGAATTTTAGCCAGAATTTTTACTCCAAAAAGATTAGTGCCTTGTAAGAATATTACATTCCCAAAAAAATTACATTAAATAACAAAAACTGATTTTGGAATTTCATAAAAATGTATCTAAATGCTGATCAAAATTTATATCATGATATTTTCATGGTTTTTAAATGAAATTTAGTCAAACAAAATAAATGTTTGAACTTTTAAAAGTGATATTGAATAAGCCGTTACAATACAGTTCCTGCAAAATTGTCAGTATTATATATTTTATTTTAAAATATTTATGTAATATACTTTTTGATTATATAATGGCTAAGTTAATAAAAATTACAACAGTAAACATATAAGAAGGAAATATTGCCTGATTTTAATGTATTTTATCTTGACATACAATTTATCCCCAACAATGTTTTCCTGTGTCATAGTATACAAAAAAGCTCAATATGGTCACAAAATTATAAATATTAGTTAAATACAGTAATAAACAATTATAACACTTTAATATCATTATGTATCTTACATCATTATACAGGGTATGTTACTCTAACTGTACCATGATCATTCAAATACAAGTATTTTGTATATAGATGGAAAATTCTTCCCAGATAAACATAATGTATGTACAACAACTTTACATATTCTTAGCTGGATAATTTTACAAGTCTTTCATTGCCTCTTATTAGATCTTTTTAATGTCTAAGCCAAACAACTTTATTTACACAGATAAGGATAATCTGGCAATTAGATTTGGGCATTCCTTCTTAAATGTCAGATTCCTAACCCCTCCCCATACTGTAACACTTCCAGCTATTTGTAATTGTTATACCATGGTTATACATGTTTGTATGCTACTGAGAACTCACAGCAGCTTATCAACCCACCAGTCAGTCGGTAACACTGAATTATATTTGTGTAACTAATTCTATTAACATCAAAGATTTATTTACAAACTGTCAGCCCAACCTCGCTGAACCTCTATCATTTGTCGTAGTTAAAGATATCACTTTTAATCTGCCGAATACTAAATAACAGAAAACACTCAAAAACTAATATTAAAAAATAATTATTAGTTATTCGAAGCCAGTCATTTCTCATCCCTGTATAAATATTTTGAACTTGAGGTTTTCTCTCACGCTGTGAAGAATGTAACTCGTGTTGTTTTATGATGCATCTTACCACAGTATCACAGCCACTAATGGTTATTAGTACAGGCATCACCCGCTGTTCCTCCAGGTAACCTCTCCTGTAGAGAGATGCATTAAGCCCGCAGAGTACAGGCCTTTGATGTTTGTTGACACCTTAGCGTAGGTATCACATGGCCTAGTTACCAGCATCACTAATAACAAATAACACAAGTTCAGTGCTGTGTGAAAACAGTTGCTTGCACGCACCGTGTTCCTCAGGTTGCACCTATAATTTGCGTGGGAGGTCGGTTGAATTGTAGGAGAGTTGGACCTAAAAAACTCAACATATTATTTAATGATTATTATATAAAGTGATATATTATAGATCTCTTTAATATCCAACAGATATCAGTATATTTTTTAACTTGCATTTTATATTGGTTTTGTTTTATATTGGTTTTTGCTGTACTGTACTTCCATTTAAACAATATTTTTACCTCATATGGGCATTGAATATCATTACTATTATTATGTTAAGTTTAATTATATTTTGCATTTATTAAAATATTAATTTCATACATACTTGAATTATGCATATGTAGGGCAACTATGTAGAGGAAAAATACCATTTCCAACATAATGAAGTTATTATAGTAAATATATTTGTATAATTCATATAACGTCATTTATGATAATATGTAATGTCTGTACAATTTATAGATCACTAAAATGTCTTCTTGTTGTGTTTGGCTGTGGATGTTTAAAGTGTTCTCATTATACCAGCGTTTACTAGCCATTTCTTGTGCTTCAGTTCAGAGTATTTTTATTTTATAGTAAAAGCAGTACTTGAATGTCATTAGCACTAATCTTGTTTTTATCATGAACATTTCAATTTCAAAATTTTAATACTGAAAAAAAAATGTGTACATATTGTAACAAAGCTCTAGATTATTATGAAACATGAGAAATAAGTTTCTGCCCAATAAAATGAAAAAATTATTGATGATGGTACTTTGCAATTTGGATAAAAATTGAGCATACTGGTTTTGCTTTTCCATTATCATTAAGAATTTATTTCTCTCTCGGAGCACACTTGCCAATTACAGTATGGAAATTTGTGATGATCTGTAAACTAACCCCCAATTCACACAAGAAGACTTCTTTGCTAGGGAAATTTTAGCACACACCCCCTGCTAAATTGCATCTGTGTGAATGCCTATCTGTGTAAGATTAGCTTGCATACTGTATAATATCAACGTAAAAAAAACATTGCACATTGCAGAAACCTGTAAACACTCCCAATATATTTAGCAAAGATCTGTCGCATGCTCATTGGGTGGAGCTTTTATCCAATTTGTGCGTATCTTGCCTGCGTATAAATTATACTGACTTTCAGCAAGATTTGCATTCGCTTGTGTGAAGACGACAGTATCCCGGGAAGTTTTTGGCACGTGTAATATTGTGTGAATCGGGGTTATTCTCATTATGGGGATCAGGTAATAATGGAGTTCAGGAGTTTTAAGACTCGAGAACATGTAATGGGAAGACAAGCATATTAAAAACCCTAGTCATGGCTAGTTTTTTTAAGGAAATCGATGAGATAACATTTTTTATTATAATGTTCAGTACTCTCACTAAAATGAATTGAATAGTTTGGGTTGATAATTACAAAAGGGAATAAAATACAGTAGTGCAGTAGTTATGTATTGTACTAGCTACTTGCCTGGTACTAAAAAATAATGACATTCTTTGTATTTTTATTATCAATTACTACTATGAATCAAATTAGTGTCCTTTACCGTATATATTTCTTTCATATAAACATTCAACCTTTTCTTGTGACCAAAAAATTCAGACCATAGAGCGATGATTATAAATTTATGTTTTTATATTATAACTTGAATCAATATTTCAAATGCTAAAATGATCAACCTTGGCGATAGAATACCTACTAATATTTTATCGTAACTTTGGTAGGATGATGGTGGTAATTTTTTTAATGTACGACATGCATATGAATGCTTGGTTATGATTTTCTGATTAAGAAGGGAATTTACTTTCATCCATCTTTTTTAAAGAAAATTAACTGCTTTCATTCATTTACATATCTTGTATGAGAAATGATGATCAAAAATGTTTTTTTTTTTAGATTAAAAAATTAAACAATAAAATATAAATAAAATTACCAATTTAGAAACTATTAAAGAAATTGCAGATCTATTTATGTGGAATTTTCAATTAACATTCCACAAAGTCCAAAATTTTAGTTTTATGAGAGAAATGTTTGTTGCTCATCTTTGTTTGGTAAATTAAATGTGAACAGACATTTTTTTTGAATATGTTACGATGTTACTTGCTCTTAAATATTTTTAAAAATAATACTGAAATAGTTATAATAACATGGAATGGTTTGATACATGTTATCTGGGTATAAGAATTGTGACAAAAGATGGTACAGTTTTAAACAATGGCAATATCAATGTTGAAGGTATGCTAAAATGCTGCCAAATATTTTGGGTAGCTGATTGATGGATGGATGGATATCGGGATTTTGGAGAACATTGTGTTCTTAGGAGAGGGTATATTTTGAAATAATACTATGTTATACTTATCTTGTCCAATTATCAATGCATTATATATTATTTTAATCCTTTGGTTATATATAATATATCATTTTATATGTGAATTTATATATCCTTAGTCCACTATTAGCGACTCACAGAAACCAAGGTTATATTTTTAGGAACTCTTACAAAAAAGAACAAGTTTTTATAGTTGTACAAAGATAAAACACTGGTAAAAAGTGTGAATGCTCAGAGAGTCAAAAAGTATGTTGTTAACTTGTTTCCATGTCTGAAAATATGTTGATGATACAGCAGAACTGAGCTTGCTAATTTTGAAAAGCCTTGCTCAGTGTCTTGTGTGTACATAGAAAGTATTTGTACAAACAACATACCTATTGTAAATGGTTATTTAAATGTGAGCTTTACCAGTGCAGTAATTCTTGTAAGGTGGGGTATTTTGAGAGGTTCAACAGCATATTAAAGCTTATCACTTGCTCTGGGAGTGCCTCTCTCCCACCAAATTTAATCAGTACTTTGAGGGAACTTCTTTCCTGAACAAAACACTAGTTCAATTATTAATTACTGTCTTTTAAGTACGTACCAAGAGAATACAAGCTATTGAAAACACAAGGGATGTGAAATTGTGGATTCTTCACTATATCCTTGGTGCCTCTATTTTTGTTTTTAGCAATATAAATTTACAACAGTTGGATACAAGATACCGGTAAATAATTTAAAATGGTTGTCACATGACCTGTCAAACCCTTATATGACTTTGTCATATGACCCGTATAACTTCTTAAATTAAATGACACATGACTAAAGACATACAAGTTATCATTCTCAGCTCAAACTTGAAAATTCTCCAGAATATTCCACTGTCAAATTGTAATTAAAGCACAAATGTAATAAAACTGACCACTGAGTAATAAGTTGGGAGGGGTTTGATCATCCCACACCACCCATACCCCAGATTCTTTTATGTGAAGGGGACATTTCACGGTGCACAGACTAAAAACCACCGAACATGAATCTTGTTTCTGTAAACGTTAGTCAATTGATATTATTTTATTATTATTATTATTATTCCATAATGTATTTACGATATGTATGTATTAATATTTTATCCAATGCCTATATTGATATATGCATGTAGAATAAAGTGCAATGCTAACGTGTTGTATCAAACAAGAACATTTTCATTTTGTTGTTATTTTACAGTCTATACTCTTTACAACTGTGCTTTCTGTAGCAGAAGATTCATTGTTTTCAATTTGAACAACTTCAGAAGACTTGCCACAAGTCTCTAATTTATTGACTTTTTGTAATGTTAGATAATTTCGAAGAGCGCCACTAGCGCCTGTTTTTGTTATGTTGTTGAATTTGGATCCGAGAAAAAGTATACTATAGGACGCCGTGTAAATAAGTAATATGGAATGCCATTGGTGCCAAAATATGATAATTTTCACTGATTAAGACAAAATTAGGGACCAGCCTACAACTTCAGGTACTGTATTTATTCAAATAAACGCCCTCGCTTTGAATAAGCTACCCCTCCTCATTTGGAATAAATGCCTCTCTTGAATAAAGGCCCCAGGTTGTTAATTTTTTCCTTGAATAAACACCCCCTGAATGACTAAACAAAACTAATGGGAGTAACACATTCTATTAATGTTCTACTCCAGTATACTTTTCAACCTGGTTGGGATCAGTAAGCCAATTTTGACATTATTGTTATTTCTCGTAATTCCACTTACAGTTAAGGGGTCTTTATTTTAGTATATATATGTATCCAATTTACACCCTAAAAATAAAAATAAATGCTTCCCTTGAATAAATTCCCTCTCAAACTCAAAAAACCTTCCCAACAATAAACGGCCTGTGGCATTTATTTGAATAAATATATTTAAATAGATCTTTAATGCAGATGTTATACAAGGAAAGTTGACATGATATTAACAGAAATCTGTATCTTGTACAAACATTGATAAACATTTATTACTTCAAAGCATTTGTTCCTAATTAATATTGATTTATTGGTTTCCAAAATTAATAAGACTAAATAATTTCCACTTTCATATTTGATTGTGATAAAGTGAGTAAATTTTGGGGAAATTCTGGATTGCAACATAATTACTCAATATTTTTTGTTTATTGTGTATACAGAGTCTGTGCTATTGGTTATAATGTTGACCCAAATCAGTAGCAGCCCTATCATTATTATTGTAGTAGAAAAGAAAGCTTTAGTGGTCGTGAGTGAGTGATGCTGCCACCTTCAGGTTCACTTAGGAATTAGTTTAAATGTATTTATTAACAGACTGTTGATTGTTTTATATTGCAATATACAATTTAATGGGTACCAACTTTTCTATCGTGTATAATTCCTGGTACAGTCAATGGATCTGAAGCAAGAACGTCTGAACAGATTAGAAACAATTATGATCAGTAACCAGGGGTGGATTTAGAGAAAAAAAAAAAGAAAGAGAAAGAAGAAATTGATCCCAAAACGCCTCAGAAGTTATTTTCGGGCGTCTAGAAAACAAAAATTTTACGGGGAAATTCCCCCGGACCTCCTAGGATGGTGTTATCTTGATCAGCCGCACTTTCGGGGTCCCCTTTTTGACATCTCTGGTAACACAAAAGAGGAAACAGACTGGATATACACAAGTAATGTAATACTGTAACACCAAACGTAAAGAAATCACGAAACATCTCATCCAAAATACAAAATCTACTGTAGCTCATATCTAGAAAATGTCCCTAAGAACTATATTAAATTCAGATACAAGCCAACGATGATGATGATGATAATGAGGATGTTCATATAATGATGTTCATGTAGAAATTGTAGATGGTGATAATGATGATGATGCGTAGTGCATTATTAAACACATACTTTCAAAGAACCTTCCTCAAATGACTCTTCAACCAAATATGACATAAACGCAACATGACATAAAGGCTTTTGCCTTTATTAGGCATATTAGTATTATTGGGCTTGTAACTTATGTTACTCAATTCATCTGAACACCCTTGACAACACAATGTTATTGTGACCCCGCATTTGAATTTGAAGAATAACTATAACTTGACAATTGTCGTACACAATACATGAACCCTTGTTTACTCTTCGTTTGATTGAAAAAAATTCGCAAGATTCTCACAAGGGCACAGTAACTATTACTATTATTATTATTATTATTATTATTATTGAACTATTTAATTACAATAACAGTACTAGAAAAATATATATCTGTTACACAACATACATAATTATTATATAATTGTAGTATGTTTCCTTTAATTTTAGCACAATCATTTGTCTATTTGTTTATACTGTCTTTACAGTGTTTTTTAGCAAACCTAATAATTACTACAATGTAAGATTTATGTATAAAAAATTTAAACACGGCACCATAATTCACTGAGCAATACGGAAAATCAACATTTAGTCTCTGCTTTTTAAAAGGTTGAATTACTATAAAAAGGACAGTGCTGAAATATAGGAACATGCTTATTTTGTTATATATAGAACATATACAATTGTTATACAATTATAGTAATAATAATAATAATAATAATTCTGGATTTATATAGCGCCTTACGTTGACACAACCTCGAGGCGCTTAACAACAACAACAACAAAAACCAAGACAAATGTAAATGTAACAAAAAATTATTATCAAATATTTGGGTTTTAGTTTAGTTTAATTAAGTTTAAATGATTAGCTTGATGATTATCAATAAATAATATTATACCTAATTTTTCAATTTTGTCTAATTGTTTTACAGTGTTATAACAAATACTCACTTAGAAATAAATGATAGCAATACACTGTTTTTGTTTATAACAACATATTATATAAGAACACTGAAATTGCTTTAAATATACAAACAAATTGAGGCCGAGGTAAAATAAGGTTTTATTATATAAAAAAAAAAAAACATAAAAAATCTTATCTGTACCTTATGTGCAGTATGTGTGACTATGTAATACTCTCTATAATACACTACAGTAATATACAGATGCACAATAATATTTTTCTTTGATAAAAAAAAATAAGAACATTTTGAGCCTGAAATCGTAAATACAAAAAAAAATAAATAACACAGAGCCTGGGCAAAAGTTAACTGGTTCTTATATATCAAAAAAGGTGTATCACATCTCCACTATTTTATTTATTACTTCAATCAGCACTTTAGTTCTTCACTTATCTTCCGGTCACCAACATCTTCATTAACTCAGAGATATTGATTAGCTTATGCTTATTAAGACATGCCAATTAATTGTGGACTGGTGATTAACACAGAATCTCCATTCTGACTCATCAAGTAAATAGTAATCAATTTTTTGCCCACATCCCATCTGAATTAATTATTCTATTCTGATTTCATCTCATTAAAAAGTCAAGATTTCAAGATTTTATATCATTAAATACCATACTTAGCCCTATTCCTGGAAAAATCAGATTTTTATATTATAAAGATTTATAAATGTAGTACAAAATTGCTAGTTTAACTGAATTTAGACATTCCTTAAACATGAAAAAAATGTAAAATAAGACTAAAATTTGTTTAAAAAAATGATTCTGAACGAGATTTTGACATTAACAAACATATCTCAGGCCTACTCGATCGACTGCAGTGTGCGAGATACGAAGTACAAAAACTAATCTCATTAGAGAGGGCACACTTTATTGAGTGTATAAAGTATTCACAAAAGCGATAGCATTCCAGTGGATCCAATCTACAACCTCTGAATTTGCCTAGTAACGAAGAAGTCATCGAGAAAATGGTAATCTCCTATGAGTTTAGTCTCTATTTCTCAATTTTTTTATTCTTTTACGTAAAACTAAAATTCATGCCAATATTTTTCCATTGTTTATAATAATTAGAGTAATGCACATTTGTTTTTTTTGTTTTTGTTTTTTTTAATCTTTTTTTAGTGAAATTTTCCCAGGAATGGGGCTTTTAATTTAAACAATATTTGCAACAATAATAATAAAAATACATGTATTCATACATTCTTGAGTATACTGTCCTCAAAGAAAGGAGGAAGGCCAGATGGTCAACATGGAGTGCTAGAATGTGGCTAGTACAGCATCCAGAGATGGACCGCAAAGGATGATAAAGGCAATGGTACGTACTTCATGGAAGGAAACAGGCAGGTAACAGGTAACTTTAAAATACCAATAATAACATTATTATTTTTTGTTTTACATCTATTTTTTATAATGATTTGTCATTTTTACAGTAGGATCATTTTAAAATTGTTACTATGATTCTTAATGTCTTTTAAGCACTCAAAATTTTAACGTATTGTATATACTTAGTGTTTTACTTACTTTAATATATTTTAAATTGTACTTGGCAATGTGTGTATTCAAACCAAAAATTTCTATCTTATATACATTTGTATTTTTTGTGGACAAGTCAATAAATAATAATAAACAAAAAAATAATACAGTGCACCAATAAAATTGTGCATTAGTTTGCAGGTTAATGTAGTTTTTCCAATTTTAGGATCATGGGCTTCAATCTTAACAAACAGGATGTCTTTTCATGACCAAAAACCAGTAGACACACCAGCGGAGGTTCTTGGATATATTCAGGGAACCTTGAAAGTAGCGGCGAGTCACTCATCGACATCAAATTTGAAAAAATAAGTACATAAAAATTTATGATATTTGTTGATAATGTTACTAAAACTTCCTCCTGCCTGTTCTAGTTTTTTTATACTAACATAATTTATTTCAGAATTATGACGGTATACCTGTTGACAGATTTTGAAATTTATTAAGCTGTACGGGTACAGAGGTAAAATTACAGAGATAGTATATCAAATCTGTGATATAATACTTAAATATGAAGCACAAAGCTTAAAAATAAATTACTGTTCAGGACTATTCTATTGTACAGAAAAGGTGATAAAAATAACGATGAAAGAAATGGTAGATTCCAACAGAACTGCTTGAAAATGTATTTAGATAAAATAAATACAAAATACAATACAATTTAGTTGGCACTGGTTTTTACATACTGTGATTTCTTTGCTAAAACCTGATTATCACTGAATTATATATTAAAAAATAAATAATGTGGTCTATTATTTAAAAAATTTTTTTTTTTCACATTCCCAACCATTTACAGAAGGTAATAAACCTAGCATAGTAGTATGTTTAATTTTACAAACA